CAGGATAGGCTTTGCTGAAGAGAGAGGTTTTCAGAGATCGCCTAAAAGGGAGCAGAGTAGGCGATAGTCTTATAAATTGGGGTAGAGAGTTCCAGAGGATGGGGGAAGCTCTGGAGAAGTCCTGGAGATAAGCATGGGAGGAGGAGACAAGGGAGCTAGAGAGCAGGAGGTCGTGCGAGGAGCGGAGAGTACGGTTTGGGTGATATTTGGAGACAAGATCGGTGATGTAATTTGGGGCGGAGTTATAAATGGCTTTATATTTTATTGTTAATGTTTTGAATTTTATCCGTTGGGCAATGGGAAGCCAGAGGAGGGATTGGCAGAGAGGGGTGGAGGACACTGAGTGGAGGCCAGTGGAGGGATAGGCAGAGAGGGGTGGGGGACACTGAGTGGAGGCCAGTGGAGGGATTGGCAGAGAGGGGTGGAGGACACTGAGTGGAGGCCAGTGGAGGGGTTGGCAGAGAGGGGTGGAGGACACTGAGTGGAGGTCTGTGGAGGGATTGGCAGAGAGGGGTGGAGGACACTGAGTGGAGGCCAGTGGAGGGATTGGCAGAGAGGGGTGGAGGACACTGAGTGGAGGCCAGTGGAGGGATTGGCAGAGAGGGGTGGAGGACACTGAGTGGAGGTCAGTGGAGGGATTGGCAGAGAGGGGTGGAGGACACTGAGTGGAGGCCAGTGGAGGGATTGGTAGAGAGGGGTGGAGGACACTGAATGGAGGCCAGTGGAGGGATTGGCAGAGAGGGATGGAGGACACTGAGTGGAGGCCAGTGGAGGGATTGGCAGAGAGGGGTGGAGGACACTGAGTGGAGGCCAGTGGAGGGATTGGCAGAGAGGGGTGGAGGACACTGAGTGGAGGCCAGTGAAGGGATTGGCAGAGAGGGGTGGAGGACACTGAGTGGAGGCCAGTGGAGGGATTGGCAGAGAGGGGTGGAGGACACTGAGTGGAGGCCAGTGGAGGGATTGGCAGAGAGGGTGGCTGCTGATACAGAACGGTTAGTAAGGTGGATGAGTCTGGCAGCAGCATTCATGATAGACTGAAGAGGGGAGAGCCTGCGATGAGGTCGGCCAATGAGGAGGGAGTTACAATAGTCAAGGCGAGATATAACACCTGTTTTTCGGGTGGAACATGTAACATGTTCCCGATCATGCAGCCGCTCCCCAAGTTCCACACTCCGTGTGACAGCAGTACGAGGAGAAGTTCCCCGTACTAGCTGTCACTTTTGAAAACCAATGTGGCTCCACCCACATGGCTGCGTCATTCAATCACAGAGTTCCGTGAATGAAGGAACTACAAGTCCCAACGGCCTCAGCAACTGTCAGCTTGTAGGTCTCAATGAACTACCATGACGCTGTGGAGTGATGTGGTAGTTCATGGAGTCTTCCTGTTAGACTGTATCTCCTTGTCCAAATGGGATGTATGGGCACACAGATACACTGACAGGTCTGCAGGTGTCCTGCATGGCACCGGCGATCTACTGATCGCCAGTGCAATGATTCCCAGGCTCAAAAGAAAAATGAAAAAAAATTTTTTTTTTCTGAACCTATTCTGTAATTGCAAACTCCTAGAAGTAAGTCATAGTAAACGTGCAGCTTTCTGCATTATGACTACATTATTTCTTAGAGGGAAAGTTGTGGGTGAGGCTCACAGGTTGGACCAGGTACAGCAGGTCACATGCAATGCTAAATATACTCATCACCTTGACAAGAGAGAGCATGCAGACATTCCTGGGAACATCGGGCTTCTGGAGTTTAATGGATTCTAATGTTTACAAGACGGTCCGCCCATCATGCGCTGTCCTTTACAAAACTATTAAACAAGGTTTAGTTGTACTGGATTAAAAAAAAAAAAAAAGGCAATTATTTTCTGAGAACTCCGGGATGTTACTGACAATTGTGTGTGTTGTGACTGCATCCACTCCAGTCAAATCTGGTACTTCTGTTCTATGCCGATGTCAGCAAGCTGCAACTGATATTAAAGTGGTTGTAAAGGTTGTAGATTTCTTTTTTTTACCCTAATGCAGGGGTGGGCAAACTTTTTGACTTGAGGGCCGCAATGGGTTCATATATTGGACCCGGGGGCCGGACCAAGAGTAGATGAATGATGTGTATGTGTCATCCATAGTAAGTATAGTAATATTCCCCCATAGTAAGCATAGTAATTCATCCCCCATATAGTAATTCATCCCCCATATAGTAATTCATCCCCCATATAGTAATTCATCCCCCATAGTAATTCATCCCCCATATAGTAATTCATCCCCCATAGTAATTCATCCCCCATATAGTAATTCATCCCCCATATAGTAATTCATCCCCCATATAGTAATTCATCCCCCATATAGTAATTCATCCCCCATAGTAATTCATCCCCCATATAGTAATTCATCCCCTATAGTAATTCATCCCCCATAGTAATTCATCCCCCATATAGTAATTCATCCCCCATATAGTAATTCATCCCCATATAGTAATTCATCCCCCATATAGTAATTCATCCCCCATATAGTAATTCATCCCCCATAGTAATTCATCCCCCATATTAAGTCCCCAAGTCCCCCCTGTGTCAATTCACTTACCTTTGCTCCGCGCGTTCCTCTCGCCGTGTTCCCGCGTCGTTCCAGTGTAGCATGAAAATCTGTCTCCTATGAGGATCTGTCCCCCTCGACGTATCTGCGCATGTGCCAGTTTCAGGCATTAGCAGCCGATCGGCGATCTCCGGCACATGCACAGATACGTCGAGGGGGACAGATCCTCATAGGAGACAGATTTTCATGCTGCATCGGTCTTCAGGGCGGACTGTGAGAGGAGCCTAGCGGGAGCCTAGCACCGCGGGCCGGATTAAAAGGTCCGCCGGGCCGTAGTTTGCCCATTGCTGCCCTAATGTCATCTCTGAAGGAAGGTTAAAAAAAAAAAAAAAAAAAAAAAAAAAAAACTTCCATTGTCAGCCCCCCCAGATACTTACTTTAGCCCGATCTCAGGCGCAGCACTGGATTGACAGCAGCAGCACTGCATTCGCTCTCCCACTTTTCACTGGACTCAGTGAGAGCAACAAGAGTCATTCTGTAGCTACGTAGTGTCATACACATGATTAGCACTTCTGTCTGGCAGCAGTAAGGTTGTCGGTTCAAATCCCAACCACGGCACTACCTGCCTGGAGTTCAAATGTTCTCCCTGTGCCTGCTTAGGTTTCCTCCGGGTACTGCAGTTTCCTCCCACGCTCCAAAGACATGCTGGTAGGTTAATTGGCTCCTGGAGGGCTTCATTTTAAGGCAAGTCTGTCACAACGTGCTAGCATGTGGTGCATACTGGCACATTATGGCCCAAACTGCCCTGGGGTCCTCATTTCTTTAATTTATTCTATGACCTTTACTACCACTTTCAATTTCAAAAGAACTCCCTCCCTCCATCCATCCATTTCATCAGGTTTTATTTTGCTAAGAAATCACTTTGTAAAACCACCCCCTAGCATTTCTAGCTGCGGCCATCTTGAGTAAAGGCAGATGATTCATGTCGAATTTTCATCCTGGAATCCATCTGTCCTTAGCTCAGGCAGAAGGGTGTGCATAGCTGAGAAAGCCCCTCCTCCAGATAAAATGTAAAAGAAGCAGATATGATTCTACAAGAACGCCTTGCAATGTACAGTATGCAGCTATCCCAAATTGTTTATTTTCTCCCCATAAAAATAGGAGTTTCACTTTATAATGCAAGTATAATAATTTGCTTTATAAGACTCATAAACACAATAATTGCAGCAAAGCGTCATCACCATTTCATTTTCTTGTCGTGTAACCCTTTCTAAATTATAATTCCGTTTTACGGGGACTCTTCCTTCTAGTGATACAAATAGGTGACTCAGTGGCAGGGGCGGACTGACAACTCATGGGGCCCCCAGGCAATAGGGGATCATGGGGCCCCTGTGTCCTTGCCCAAACTGAAAAAAGCCTATGAAAAAGGTAGCAGGGGCATCTCATGGGGCCCCCTACTGACCCCGGGCCCTCGGGCAGTGCCCGAGTTTCCAAATGATCAGTCCGCCCCTGGCTCAGTGGGTAAGTACGTGCAGTTCTGCACACTGGGGTTTATGTTCGCCTTTCTCAGGTTGATCCTGATATTGCAGCGCCGAGTCTCGGTTTCTAATACGTCCGTGTCATCTTTATATATGCGGTTTCACGCACGAAGGCCCGCGCCAGCTGGCTGACTGATCTTTGTTTCGACGGTCCGTCCGGCCATGGCAGGCGGGCCAGAGGATTAGAGAGAAATTCACCGCATCATCTCACAGATGAGCGAGATCAAAGGCTGGTGGCTGCCGTGAAAAGCTGATCTGGCACAGAGAAGATGATGCCACCGGATAGCTTGCCAGGACCGTCGCTCTGCTGCCTGCGAATCCTGCAGCCGGAGGAGTCACAGCTTCAAATAAACCCAAGGTGAATAATGGACACAAAGGGGGTCCCTGCAACCCTGGTACCCAACCTGCGGCCCAAGGGCCACACCACTTTGAAGCTTACTGTGCGGTCCTCAGGGACCCCCCTTTCCTGTGCTGTTCCTACTTTTCTATTTTTATGTTTTGTATTTTTCCTCTAACCTTCTATAATGTAAATAATAAAGCAAATTTTAGAAGTGCTGTAGGGAGCAAAAATGCGAACACACTGATTTGTAATGGCCGTGATCTCCAGCATTCTCAGTTTATATGTCTTCAGGCTTTGACTGTCTCCAAAGCCTGTATTGTGATTGCAGTCTCTGACCAACTGCTGTAGTATGTCTGCAGTCTCTGACCATCTCCTGTAGTATGTCTGCAGTCTCTGACCATCTCCTGTAGAATGTCTGCAGTCTCTGACCAGCTCCTGTACTATGTCTGCAGTCTCTGACCAGCTCCTGTACTATGTCTGCAGTCTCTGACCAGCTCCTGTACTATGTCTGCAGTCTCTGACCAGCTCCTGTACTATGTCTGCAGTCTCAGACCAACTCCTGTACTATGTCTACAGTCTCTGACCATCTCTAGTATGTCTGCAGTCTCTGACCAACTGCTGTAGTATGTCTGCAGTCTCTGACCATCTCCTCTAGTATGTCTGCAGTCTCTGACCATCTCCTGTAGTATGTCTGCAGTCTCAGACCAACTCCTGTACTATGTCTACAGTCTCTGACCATCTCTAGTATGTCTGCAGTCTCTGACCATCTCTAGTATGTCTGCAGTCTCTGACCAACTGCTGTAGTATGTCTGCAGTCTCTGACCAGTCTCTCCTCTAGTATGTCTGCAGTCTCTAACCATCTCCTGTAGTATGTCTGCAGTCTCTGACCATCTCCTGTAGTATGTCTACAGTCTCTAACCATCTCCTGTAGTAGGTCTGCAGTCTATGACCATCTCCTGTAGTATGTCTGCAGTCTAAGACCATCTCCTGTAGTATATCTGCAGTGTCTGACCATCTCCTGTAGTAGGTCTGCAGTCTCTGACCACCTCCTGTAGTATGTCTGCAGTCTCTGACCATCTCCTGTAGTAGGTCTGCAGTCTATGACCATCTCCTGTAGTATATCTGCAGTCTCTGATCATCTCCTGTAGTATCTCTGCAGATATACTACAGAAGATGGTCATAGACTGCAGAGATACTACAGGAGATGATCAGAGACTGCAGATATACTACAGAAGATGGTCATAGACTGCAGTCTCTGACCATCTCCTGTAATATGTCTGCAGTCTATGACCATCTCCTGTAATATGACTGCAGTCTCTGACCATCTCTCCTGTAATATGACTGCAGTCTCTGACCATCTGCTGTAGTATGTCTGCAGTCTCTCATCATCTCTCCTGTAGTATGTCTGCACTCTCTCATCATCTCCTGTAGTATGTCTGCACTCTCTCATCATCTCCTGTTACATGTCTGCAGTCTCTGATCATCTCCTGTAGTATGCCTGCAGTCTCTGACCATCTCCTGTAGTATGCCTGCAGTCTCTGACCATCTCCTGTTACATGTCTGCAGTCTCTGACAATGCATTTACTGAATATTCTGGGCGGCCCTTTGGTGATATTTGTTCAAAATGCTGGAGTTTTACCATAAGCAGACCCATTTTGCATGAAGAAGGAAGGGCAAAAATTCTGTAGAGCTGCCGGCTCAGAAAAGCGTAGTCCCTGTTCTTCTGTACAATGTACCGTATATCTAGCGCGATGTATCCATGTATTCCTTGCCATAACTAGCAGGCAAAGGTGCTAATAAATGGTAAATTGGCCTCTTTGGCTGGTATTGCCCATATAAACGTTTTTCTGGTGAACTCCTTGGCCGCCTCTTAGCGCCGGTGACCAGATCTGGTTGCACACGTTCCCAATATCCCATGAACGCCCTCGAGACTGCAGTACAGTGTATGATATAAACTGTCATTTATTCCGACGCCGGCGTTTAAAGAATGCCATTCTTCTCCTTACATAATCTCATTAACCTTCTCTGCTTCCTCCAATGACAAGGGCAGAACCTGTATTCTAGAAATATTGCCACACGCACTGCTCCAACCATAACAACAATCTAACCCCGGGGAAAACACAATAAATCTTCACAGAACATGAGCACACCGACATTGATGATGGATCCAAGCAAGATAGGCAAAAAAATAACCCATTAAAAAAAAAAAAAAAGATCCTTTAAAGAGAACCTGTAGCCTGCAAAGCTTGTTCTATAGACAAGTGTTTCTCAACCTTTTTTCAGTCAAGGCACCCTTTACAATTATGGACAGTCCAGAGGCACCCTTTACAATTATGGACAGTCCAGAGGCACCCTTTACAATTATGGACAGTCCAGAGGCACCCTTTACAATTATGGACAGTCCAGAGGCACCCTTTACAATTATGGACAGTCCAGAGGCACCCTTTACAATTATGGACAGTCCAGAGGCACCCTTTAAATTTATGGACAGTCCCGAGGCACCCTTTACAATTATGGACAGTCCCGAGGCACCCTTTAAAATTATGGACAGTCCCGAGGAACGCTTTACAATTATGGACAGTTTTTTGGCACCCTTTAAAATTATTGACTGTCCCGAGGCACCCTTTAAAATTATGGACAGTTTTTTGGCACCCTTTAAAATTATGCACAGTCTTGAGGCACCCTTTAAAATTATGGACAGTACCGAGGCACCCCTTTATAATTATAGACGGTCCCGAGGCACCCCTTTATAATTATGGACGGTCCCGAGGCACCCTTTATAATTATGGACGGTCCCGAGGCACCCTTTAAAATTATGGACGGTCCCGAGGCACCCTTTAAAATTATGGACGGTCCCGAGGCACCCTTTAAAATTATGGACGGTCCCGAGGCACCCTTTATAATTATGGACGGTCTTGAGGCACCCTTTTAAAATTATATACAGTCCTGAGGCGCCCTTTAAAATTATGAAATGCATTCTAAAATGTGAAAAACAATTCTAATAGTTTTATATAATGCGGCAACATCCACACATGTAGGACAACCAACATTAGAGGTGATTTATTCTTCCAAAGCAAATATACTTTTGCACACTGGTACTGACCAGTATTCCAATGTTTCTCTTCTCCCCAGTTTTTATCCATCACTGAGCTAATGTGGCCCCAGCAATGATGGAGAGGGGCAGGAGACGGTCAAATTAGGATGCTGTGCAGGCAACCGACATCCTCCTTATCAACTGATGATGTCATTGGTTGTCAGAGGACGCCGGAGGCTAGAAGGTCGTAATGGTGCACAATGAAAACCCGTGGCTATGTGTAATTAAAAGGCAGGCTTGTTCCACCTGCTGGCTTGCATTTCAGTTTTGGCCAATTTTTAGACATTTTTGCCAAAGCACCCCCTGAAGAAACCTCAAGGCACCCGGGGTGCCTGGGCACCTTAGTTGAGAAAGGCTGCTATAGAACATTACACAACAATGCAGATAAAGGGGTTGATTTACAAAAAGCAAATAGGTTGTGCACTGCAAGTGCAGTTGCTCTAGATCACGCAAGTAAAAAAAAAAAAATAGCATTTTTGCTTGCACATGATTGTATGAAAAAAGAAATCAGCAGAGCTTCACCTCATTTCAGAGCTTCGCCTCGGTTCTAAAGCAACTGCGCTTGCAGCGCACAGTATATTTACCTTTAGTAAATCAACCCCAATGTGTCACATTTATGTTGTCATTTGGCGAGTCATCTGCTGGGAAATCTTCAGGGAATTTCTTGCACCTTTCATTTCAATTTCCAACTCTACAGCAGAGAGATGCGTGAGGCTGGGAGTCTGGAACACCTAGAAATACATAGGTCCGCGCCCAGAGATAATTCACCGTGATTTTAGAACATAAAAATGATCAATGACAAAACACTGAAGGAATTAAAGTGTTTGTAAATGCTAAGTGGTTTTTTTTTACCTTAGCCACTTCCGTGCCGCCCTATAGCAGAAATACCGCTACAGGGCGGCACGGTGCGCAAAATCACACACATATATATATATACACACACATATATATATATACACACATATATATATATATATACACACATATATATATATATATATATATATATATATATATACACACACACACACACACACATATATATATATATATATATATATATATATATATATGTGTGTGTATGTATGTATGTATGTGATTTTGCAGTTCTGGGTAGGGGGCGAATGCACAGCCTCAGCTGTCAATCAACGGGTCCCAGACGGTGATTCCCCCGCCGGCACCTAGCGCTCTCTGAGGATTTCCGACGGCGGAGAAATCTGTATGTAAACAATGTCAACTCCTGCACACTGCTTTGTATGGCTCTGCATTGAAAATAGTGCCACACTGAAAAACGCACCGCATTTGCCACTGTGTGGGGGTACAATTAAGAAATAAATGGCACCCCTGCACATCTGCTAAAGAACAGCACATTTCATTTGTTTGCATGTCTGGAACGCATGCCGTTTTGCGCATGTTTTTATGGATGCAGGAATGTGAACCAAGCCTTATACTGGGGTGCCTCAGGACTGAACTCAGAACTTATATTGGGGTGCCTCAGGGCTGAACAGACTTTACGAGGGCGCCATGGCTGGAAGAAGGTTTGGAAACACTACTACAGTAGTCTGCGCTACATACTTTCTCTTTAAGAACCAGTTGGAACTTTGGTTTAGAGCAACCCAGCCAGCAGCTTGTTTACATCATCTCCAGGATGGGCGTTGCAGTTTGGACACTACATGTATTTTCGGAAAGGTGTTTCGGACACAACACGCGGCTTCAATTAAATCGCTCCTCGTGGGGAAAATTAAAATGGCCAAATTTCAGCAAAAACGTGGAGGTTTCTCATTTGTCAGCAGAATCCCCCTTCCAAATACTTTTTCCAAAGATGAAAGATGGCAAAGCCAGAGGATTCCAAAGTGTTCTGTTTAGAAAACCCTGTGTGAAATCTCAGGAAAGCAGATCCACTTTATTATAGGGGGGACAAAAGAACAGGATTTGTAATGCAAAACAGAATTTGCCGACATTTCAAGTAGCTTCCTCGACCTCGTTCACACGGGGGTACCAATCTGTACACATGTGCAAAGGGCTGTCATCCGCTCTGCATGCACAGGTGTTCTGTGCTGGTGCATGCAGGCAGCCTGTTCAATGCAATGATAGGTGTCCAGCTGCATGACCCTAGGTTCACGTCTGTGCGGGTGGTGCCGCTGCGGATCAGCACGCAAATCTGTACAGCCGCATCACCCGCACAGAGAATTGCGGACCCGCGGGCGGGTGACATCAGTTCTAATGGCACGCCGCCCGCACTGGAAAACACAACCGTACTGGGAACCTCGGCTGCGTTTTCCAAAGTAGTGCAGGAACAACTTTCCCTGCGTGTCACGGGCATGGGAGTCCATTCAAATGAATGGGCTCTCGTGCAAGTGCAAAACACGGCCCGCACGGCTGCACAGGTGTGAACCAGGGGTAAATGTGCATGGATTTCTAAAGCAGACATCCACTCTAAAGGGGCATGCTGCGCTGTCCTGCTTCCTCTTCCCTCCCTCTCTAACAAATGTTTTTTTTTTTGTAAGTACTGCAATTAGGTGAGTATTTCTCCCCACCCTCTGCGCATATTTGCCACAGAGCTCAGGTCCTGAAAGAGCCCTGCGGCACATCTGCTCATACATCCATTTCCCCGACCATCTGCACCCATGTGGGGTTTCCCGCGCATGTGCAAAGACTGCTACTCCAGCAGTCCAAAACCTTTTTCTGTCTTTGCGCATGAGCAGAAAAATCACCTGCCCCTGCGCAGATGGGCCACCCCCCATCCTCTGGGCTCCACCATTAAGGTGCATGTACAGATGGGCCACCCCCCCTCCTCTGGGCTCCACCATTAAGGTGCATGTGCAGATGGGCCACCTCCCCCCCCTCCTCTGGGCTCCACCATTAAGGTGCATGTGCAGATGAGCCACCCCCCCATCCTCTGGGCTCCACCATTAAGGTGCATGTGCAGATGAGCCACCCCCCCATCCTCTGGGCTCCACCATTAAGGTGCATGTGCAGATGAGCCACCCCCCCATCCTCTGGGCTCCACCATTAAGGTGCATGTGCAATGAGCCACCCCCCCATCCTCTGGGCTCCACCATTAAGGTGCATGTACAGATGGGCCACCCCCCCTCCTCTGGGCTCCACCATTAAGGTGCATGTACAGATGGGCCACCCCCCCTTCTCTGGGCTCCACCATTAAGGTGCATGTGCAGAAGGGCCACCCCCCCTTCTCTGGGCTCCAACATTAAGGTGCATGTGCAGATGGGTCACCCCCCTCCTCTGGGCTCCACCATTAAGGTGCATGTGCAGAAGGGCCACCCCCCCTTCTCTGGGCTCCAACATTAAGGTGCATGTGCAGATGGGCCACCCCCCCCAATAACCCCCGATTCACATCTATGCGGCCGCCCGGGCCAGGTTTTGCACGGGCACGAGAGCCCATTCATTTGAATGGACTCCCTTGCCTCGTGACACGCAGGGAAGACGTCCCGGCTCGTCTTTGGAAAATGCAGCCGAGGTACGGTTTGCGTTTTCCAGTGCGGGTGGCGTGCCATTAGAACTAATGGCACCTGCCCGTGGGTCCGCATTTCTCTGTGCGGGTGGTGCGGCTGCACGGATTTTCGTGCGGATCCGCAGCAGCACCACCCGCACAGATGTGAACCTAGGGTAAAACCTCTCCTGTGAAAGGTAATGAAGGTGAATATTGTGATGTGAGGAGCAAAAAGAAGGTGAGACTTTGAAGAGGGGGAAAAAAAAAGAACATTTTTGTTACATTGTATCACTACGGCACTTTGTTACTTTTTTTTTTCTTTTTCTTCATCTTTCTGTGAATTCGGTCCAGGAGTATATAAACAAAACTGCTAAAAAAATAAACTGTGTTCCACGTACCAGTTCAATTCCCTGTGGGAACGGCGTATCGCTCCAGTCCGTCAGAGGAAACCTTTGAATTATTTTGCCCAATCCTTCGCCAGAGCCTGTGAATAGAAAGAAAAATAAAGTCAAGGATCTGCAGCTGTATAACCACAATGAGATACACAAGTCTTTGTTCTCTGCTGCACTCCTATCATCCTATCTGCATAGAACTTTGCATCTTTTCTGTGCTTTTCAGCCAAGACTTTCTATCCTCCAACACAGGATGATAAGCAGTTGCCTAGAGACTATACAAAGAGCAGAACGGAGACGAGTCTTAAAGTGTTACTATTATTTTTTCCTCACTAGGATGGAGGGTGTGGGTCCTCGGGCCTGCCCTAAAGTCTAGGGGGCGTATGAGTGGCCATCAGGTTCCTTCATCCCCTGTCCCTGGGGGGGGGGGGTCTCTCTTTCGGAGAGCCCCCTGACCTAGTACTCGGTGGTTGGCTTCGGCTAGCCACAAGGAAAGGGGTCCGCCGGGCCTGTTTAGCCAAAAAAGTCCATGGTGGACCATGTGGGACCCTTTGTCGCTGTCAGGAGCCTTTTGCCCCTTTGGGAGGTATACTAAAGCACCCCAAGTGCACTTTTTTTTGTTTGTGTTTTGCGCGTTTTTTATTCACTTACGGGTTTTTGTTATTTTCTCACCTCCGCGGACTTTAAAAATAATAATAAAAAAAAAATGTTGGTAAGCTGCAATATATTACAGTTTTTGGGTTTAATAGCGCTTCATACAGCGGTGTATTTAGGTTTTGTGCTGCCCTAGGCAACACAAAAATTATCTGCCCCCATGGACACAAGCCAACACCATCCCCCCCACCCATTCCTCCTCCTGCAGAGAGAGCCTAACATTGACCAACAACACCCATGCCCCCCCACCTAGAAGAGCCTTCCACTACCCCCCCAACCCCCGGGAATAGAGAGAAAGACACTCATCTTCACAGCTCCGGACATCCCCGGGAATAAGAGTCAGGCTCTACATACACCATCAAACAGCCCGCAGCCTCTCTCAGATCCCACCTGGTTCCCATGGCATGCGTGTCCCTTCTTTCATCCCTTCTTCTGGCGGGAGGTGCTGCCCCCCTGAAAAATGCCGCCCTAAGCAGGTGCCTTGTTTGCCTTGTGGTAAATACACCCCTGGCTTCATAGCGAACCTCAAGGCATGAAGGAGAGCGATTTGTAGCAGTGAATTCCAACCCAATGCTGTAGCACTAGTTAATCAACTAGGAGATAAGAGGGGGACACTGGAAGAAGGGGAGGATCAGAGAAATAAGGATTGTTTTTACACAATGCGGAGGATTAACCCCTTAGGTTCCACAATGAGTATAACAAGAATGCTTTACTACATATGCATCCTGGTTTTACTGTTTTGTGGGTTTAGATTGTAAACTCTAAACGAGCCGGGCCCTCTTGTACGGCTTACAATCTAAGAGGGAGGGATAAAGGTTTTACATGAATAAAAGCTGATCACAACTCTGCCCCCAGCTACATCACCAACCAGGTCTCAAAATATCAACCAAACCGCTCTCTCCCAAGACCTTCTGCTCTCTAGTTCCAGTGTCACCTTCTCCCATGCTCGCCTCCAGGACTTCTCCCGAGCTTCTCCCATTCTATGGAACTTCTTACCCCAATCTGTCCGGCTGTCTCCTAATCTATCCACCTTTAGACAATCCCTGCAAACCTCTTTAAAGAAGCCTATCCTGCTTCTACCTAGTAAACCGCCATTTATTTCCTCCTATCATCTCCATCCCCCCCACAGCTATTACCTTTTGTATCACTCAACCCTTCCTCCTAGATTGTAAGCTCTAACGAGCCGGGCCCTCCGATTCCTCTTGTACCAAATTGTATTGTAACTGTAATGTCTACCTTCATTTGGTAAAGCGCTGCGCAAACTGTTGGCGCCATATAAATCCTGTATAATAATAAGAATCACTGTAAGCACCCCTGTCAGTGGTAAATGGGTTATCTCATCCATGTAAACTGATACATTCTGCAGGAGAGATTGAACTTCTGAAAAACTGCAGAGTTGGTGGCTGAATCACTTGATGAAAATAGAAGACAAAAAAGAAAACTAACACAGCCACCACATCTAATAATTGGTAAGCTGTAATAAATTTTTGCTATTGGGTTCTATACCACTTTAAAGCACACAGCCACAGACAACGATTTATTCTGGGTGTCTTCCCTAAGAGATCAGCCAACCTGCGTATTAGCAGTCCAACTGGCATCACAAGCATAGAAAACTGGGAATAATATTAGAGGTCCAAGGAGCTTGGGTATTCGTAACTATAAAAAATATTTTTGGTTTAGACCAGGGTCCTCCTTTACCCTAGGTTCACATCTGTGCGGGTGGTGCCGCATATCCGCACAAAAATCCATGCAGCCGCACCACCCGCACAGAGAAATGCGGACCTGCGGGCGGGTGCTATTAGTTCTAATGTCACGCCGCCTGCACTGGAAAACGCAACCGTACTGAGAACCTCGGCTGCGTTTTCCAAAGAAGTGCCGGGACTTCTTCCCTGCGTGTCACGGGGCACGGGAGTCCATTCAAATGAATGGGCTCTCGTGTCCGCGCAAAACGCAGCCCGTACGGCCGCATAGATGTGAACCGGGGGGTCAAACCTAGATCAAAACTTTGGCAACGTCTACCGCCCTATCACAACGCTAGCTACGAATCGGATTTGTCGGTGAACATTAGATTCCTCAACAAGTACATTAACAATTGAAGCGAGCATTAAATAAACCACGGCATAAATTAAAAATGCCGTCTTCGGGGCCAGAAACGAGACATTTCGCTCTTGTTGTGCAATAATTAACAGCACATGTTCGCCGCACCGCATCTTTCGAGCATGAGTCAAGACAACTGAAAAACAGCACAGCAGATCTGCACCGGTTACATAAAGTCCTCGAACAAAGTCCCAGTGCGGCTGTCGAGAGTCGGCCCATCCAAAAATATTCACGATGGTTTCTATTCCGGGCCTGGGACAGCACTTGGTATTTATTCTGTGTAAACAGGGCGACATCTGGAGCGTAGAAAACAAAAGGCGCTAGATTCGGCCAATTCTGGCATCCCCAGTGCCATGGCGGGATGATCAACAGATAGCACAAGTCAAGCCAATATGAATGGAAGGGTTTGGATCTCTTCCCATTTTCCTTCATTCTTCTAGAACAGGGGTGAGCAAACTTTTTGACTTGAGGGCCGCAATGGGTTCATATAGTTCAAGGGTTCAAGAGTAGATGAATGATGTGTATGTGTCATCCATAGTAAGTATAGTACTATTCCCCCATAGTAAGCATAGTAATTAATCCCCCATATAGTAATTCATCCCCCATATAGTAATTCATCCCCCCCATAGTAATTCATCCCCCATCCCCCCTATAGTAATTCATTCCCCCATATAGTAATTCATTTCATCCCCCATATAGTAATTCATCCCCCCATAGTAATTCATCCCCCATATAGTAATTCATCCCCCATATAGTAATTCATCCCCCATATAGTAATTCATCCCCCATAGTAATTCATCCCCCATATAGTAATTCATCCCCCATATAGTATTTCATCCCCCCCATAGAGTATTTCATCCCCCATAGTATTTCATCCCCCATAGTACTATTCCCCCCCAAGTAGTAAGCCAAGTCCCCCCTGTGTCAATTTACTTACCTTTGCTCCGCGCGTTCCTCTCGCCGTGTTCCCGTTCCGGTCTTCAGGGCGGACTGTGAGAGGAGCCTAGCTCCCCTCACGTTCGTCACGCTGCCCCGCCTACACACATCCTGACAGCCAATGTATCACGCTCCGCGGGCCGGATTAAAAGGTCCGCCGGGCCGTATACGGCCCGCAGGCTGTAGTTTGCCCATTGCTGTTCTAGAACGTTGCTCACTCCATTATAGCGCTCTTAGACGGCTCAGGTTGTATTCTGATTGGCTGGTGCTCTTTGGGAGGAAACACTCTCCTCTGGCTGCCGCTAGGTGCCTGGCTGTTTCTGGATACAATGCTTACAAACTAGAAAAATGAATGAAAATTCTGCTGCCGAAAAATCAAAATGCACTTGGCCAAAAAACCGAAAGGCACAGTTTTTTAAAAATGAATATATATTTTTTGGAAAAAAATAAACTTTGATTAAAAAAAAATATATATATATATACCCCAATTGTTTTGTAAAATATGTAAGAGGATGTTAGGGTGAGAAAATACATACCCGACATGTCACACTTTAAAATTGCGCACGCTCGTGGAATGGCATGAAACTGTGGTACTTAAAAATCTCCATGGGTGACGATTTAAAAATGCCTAACAGTGTAAAGTTACAGAAGAGGTCCAGTGCGAGAATTATTGCTCTTGCTCCGACATTCGTGGCGATACCTCACATGTGTGGTTTGAACACCATTTACATATGTGGGCATGGCCTACGTATGAGTTTACCACTATGTGCGAGCACGGGGGGGACGGGGGGGCACTTTATACTTTTTGAAAAAAAATGTATTTAATGTCTTTTTTAATTTTTGCACTGTTCCTTTTCAAAGAAATTGTAATCACTTTTAGTCTGAAAATAAGAAATGCATGCATCCCTTGTGATAGAAATAATTAGTGACAGGTCCTCTTTATAGAGAGATCTGGTGTCAGTAAGACCCCACATATCTATTCTGCAATGTACAGCATTAAAGAAAAAAAAATGGCCAGAAAACGGAAGTGATGTCACTCCGGTCCTCCAAGGGCATAGAGATGTGTGGCGGCCATCTTTCCTTCTCTCATCTCTATGCCCAGCGCCGGGATCGATGGCTTCTCAGGTAAGGCTGAACTACCGAGCGGCGGCCGGGCGACAGCGGACGGGCAATGGCAAAGGGCGGGCGGCTTTGAGGGGGCGTGGTTTTATCGGCACGTCTATCGGTGCTTTTTTTTTTTTTTTCTTCATTTCAGCCGAAAGGGGTGTTTTCGGCCGAAACGTTTCAGCCACTGGAATTTCGGTGCATCCCTATTACAAACACAAGTCAATGGCTTGCAACACACACTGATCAGTCATAACATTCTGACCACTGACAGTTCAAGTGAACATTGATGATCTTGTTACAATGGCATCTGAAAGCGAGTGGGATATATTAGGCAGCAAGTGAACATGTTGTCCTTGAAAGCAGAAAAAAAATGGGCAAGTATAAGAACTTGAGCAACTTTGAGCCAAATTGTAATGGTTAGACAACTGGATCAGAGCAACTCCAAATCTGCAGCTCTTGTGCGATGTTCCCGGTCTGCAATGGTCCAGGCTACCTAAAATAGTCCAAAAAGATGGAAAAACCGGGGACAGGGTCATTAGTAGCCAAGACTCATTGATGTACATGGGGAGCGAAGGAGTCTGCAGTGGTCAGGACCGACCAAAAGTGATCTAAGGAAATAAAACCAGCCAACTGGCGAAAGGATCACGGGTGGCCAAGGCTCACTGATGCACTTGGGGAGAGAAGGCCGGGCCGTGTAGTCCGATTCAATAGAAGAGCTACTGGAGCTCAGATTGCTGAAAAAGTGAATGCTGGTTCTGATAGAAAGGTCTCAGAACACAGAGCAGGGGTCTCCAAACTTTATACACAAAACTCTCTCTCTCTCTCTCTCTCTATATATATATATATTTGGGAAGAATATTTTTTTTAAATACATTTTTCTTCCATGTGGGTCCCTTCTTCACGGATAAGGTATAAAACCTGCCAAAGGGATCTACATTACCCCATTAGAGTGCATATTTATTAGCCTATGCTAGCCAATAAATGGTATCACCGAAATGCCAAACTTTCTGCATTAATCGATGGCTAACACAGTACTATCCTACATAAAATTGGAATTCCAGGTTATTACCAACTATGCTTAAGCCTGCTCCCACCCACCTTTCCAAATCCTATTCTAATTACCCCGTGAGAGGAATATACTTACCTATTCTGAGGGAGCTCCGGTCCGGTCATGCGATCTCCCCAGTGGCCGCCTTCAGAGAACTGGAGGTTGAAATGCCTGGACAATGCCGCCACCCATGGGCTTACCATGGGGCATTTGTTATCAGTAGTCCCTCCTCTTCCCTGAAGCTGCCACTGGGAGCCCATGACATGACCGGGCCAGAGCCCCTTGTGAAGAGGTAAGTATAAGCATCTTCCTTTCACAGGGTAGTTAGAATAGGATTAAAAGAGGGGGAGTGCAGATTTAAGAATAGTTAGCAATAGCCTGGAATTCCTCTCAGGAAAGTACCAACTGATACAAAATGGCTATTAAAATTTCAGACATTTGGTGACTTGTTTAAACCCTTGACGCTGATGTCACACAAATATGCGGCCTCATAGAACTTGGCTTTTTTCCATGGGGCCACATATTTGCATATCTATCGGCGCGCTTCCAGCACAAAGACCGCAGTGTCACTGACACCCCCGGGTCCCGTTCTAACGATCGGGACCTGGGACTCCAGATTCCGGATCACATGATCGCTGTGATAGCCTCTGATTGGCTATCACAGTGACCAGTCACTGTACAGCCCGGCCCCTTTGCTTATTTTTTTTTCCCTCTCTATAATTGGAGAAGAGAGATACATTGTATCTCTCTAACTCCTGGCATAGAGGAAAAAAAAAATGTTTGTAAAAAAAAAAAAAAAAAAGATAAATATTAAAAAAGAAAAAATAAAGAAATACCTAGATCAAGGTTTAATCTACTTCAGTTCCAGGGCTAGTGTTTGGGTCAAGGTCAGGGTCAAAGGTTAAGGTCAAAGGTCAGGATTTAAAAAAAAAATTGGTGTCAGTTAGTGTTAATGTCAGTGTGTTTTAGGTAAAAAAAAAAAAAAAAAAAAAAAAGACAAAAACAAAATGCAAGCTATTGATTCTGGGCGGTACTACGGGTACAAAACAACAAATAACATACACATATATGGTATCGCTGCGATCGTCAAGAGCTGGAGAATTTATTTTGGGTTGTTCCTTGGTGGTAGGTTATGGTAGTAACAAGAAACACACAGCTAAATTAAAAAAAAAAAATTTTTTTTTTTTTTTTTTTTTTTACTATTTTGGGCCAGTTTTCCTTTGATAATAAAACAAAATCAGGAGATATCCATTACCATTTACCACTATTTTGGGCCAGTTTTCCTTTGATAAAAAAAAAAAAAAAAATCAGGAGCTATCCATTACCATTTTTCACCAAATGAAAGCCCAATTTGTCCTGAAAAAATCAAGGTATAATCCACCTGGATGTACAAAGTAGTTGTGATGATATGTACGGTTTTACGATCACATGTCAACGTTGCAGAATTGTGCTTGGGCATTTAGATTTGATTTACCCTTAGGCGTGAAGGGGTTAAGCTGTCTCTGGAAACACGAAGATGTCTTGGATTCCCTTGTCTAATCTGAATTTATCAAAAATAGCTAGACTGGTATTGACCTCCATTACAGCTTTGTCCTAGTCTCTAAAAACAGGTGCAAGTTATGTCTAGGCCAGGGGTCTCCAAACTTCCTAAACAAAGGGCCACTTTACTGTCCTTCAGACTTTGGGCGTCCAGGCTGTGGCCAGCGGGAGGGGAATACGCCCTGGTGTCAACGGGAGTAAACAATGCTCCACCGTTGGTATTATTGGAAG